TTACAACCTTTCTTTTGATATTTACTGTCATGTTAAACATGATCATGTTAGGAGTTTGGATGATTGAAGGGAAGAGAACCACATGTTTTACTACAATTTGACAATGTTATACTTTAGTTAAGGCTATATGAAATTAACCTTTGGGTTATCAATTGTTCTGATTCATCATTGCGCCTGAATAATTGACCTTTTGATTTCTTTTTTTGGAATTATTGTGTGGGGAATTGTTCACCATCCATTTCTATTGGATACTTGAGTTTTCTTTCCTATAACTTACAGTGCTTGTAAAGTAGAAAGAGTACACATGATTGTAGCAACTATTGACGTATCCTTGCAGTTCCTTTGTCCATGTCTGTGTACTGATAAAAATTGCATTAGTGTGTAGACTTCATAGTGGTTGCAAACCAGTTGGGACTGCAAACAGTTTTCTGCTTTAAATTTTATAACCAACAATGCTACATGATGTCTAACTCTGATATCCCTTGGAACGGAAAATTAGAGACAAATGAGGGTGAGAAGAGCTTATGTTGCTTTAATGCATAGAATCAGATTACGGGAAAATTTGATGGGCAATAAATCCAATTGCTCATTGCTCATTGACAAGAAGCTCAATTGTTGTAGTTATTAATCTGGATCTTTAGAATGAAGTTTGTTTAAGAATTCATTACTGCTGTTATTGTACATTTCTTGAAGCAAGTGTTTCAATCTTTTCTAACTGCTTTCCTTTTCTTGTCCTTTCTTTTTTCTCCAGTCAGCTGCACGCTTATTTGGATCATCAATCTCTTCCAAGGATCTGATTAGCGTGTCTGGGGTGAGTTCTGTGAAATTTTGATAAGTTATCATCCCTAGAATACTCAACACAGATGCTTAAAAATGATTGTCCTTAATAATGGCTCACTTTGCTCCCATTCTTGTTGAATATTGATGCTATCTGAATATGCCTTGCCGGCTCATGATCTCTTCTGAAACTGTAGCATTGGTGCATGACCACAAATAAACAAGATGCTATCTGTTAATTTTATTTTTTCTTTTTGCCATTGATTATAATATTTACTAGATTATTAGGCTTTTTGGAAATTTGATAGTGGATGGGTTCTCTTTCTTGTTCTCAAAAGTATGGCCTATAATTTGTTCATGAAATATTTTCTTGGGTAATCATAATTATTTTTATCAATTTACAGATTATCCCACGGGAGGTTGTTGATGAGCTTTTTGCTGCTTGTAGAAGTGGTAACTTCGATCTTGCAAATAAGGAAGTCAATAATGTAATTGCAGAAGGATATCCTGTGGCTCAGATGCTTTCACAGGTTTTCTTCTTGCTCAATCTATATCATGTTATTGTATTTTCAAATGATGAACGTAGATAGACAAAACTCATATGATTCCTACAGATATTTGAGGTGGTTATTGAAGCCCATGATTTGCAAGATGAACAAACGGCCAAGATATGCAAGAAGTTGGCTGAAGCAGATAAGGTCACTTCTATCTCTTTCCATGTTCTATTGCAGTTTCGCTATCTAAAGTTCATGTGAAGTATGCATCAAGTTGGCTACATTATTAGTTTAAATTGTAATTTGGAATTGACAACTTAGAGTCGATAGATTCTACCAATCTTTTATCTATATATCTATATCTGTATATATATATTAACATTAAGAGCAGCCCATCATATCTTCTTGCATTTAATGTTGGTAAGTACTTCGTATTATGTTGACAAATATTTTACTTGGTTTGGTTTTAATCTTGATTGAAAATTACATTGATACAAAATGGAAATTTACCCAATAATATTCTGGAATGGCATTTATTTCATCATGCAAATCAACATTGTTGCTATGCCAATCTGCAGTGTCTGGTTGATGGTGCGGATGAATATTTGCAGCTGCTGGATGTGGTTAGTCAAACAATGCAAGCTTTGAGTAGCAGCATGCAACTGTAAATATTTGATTAAACTGTTCCATGTTGTATAGAAACAAGGTAACTCTTGGCTCGTAGAAATTGTTGGAACTGTGCTCTTAGCTAGCTGGTGTGTACCTTGCTAATTTACAAGTTAGATCTTGTTTATTTTAGGTGGATTTGAGAGTTTTGTTTTTAGTTTTTTTTTTTTTTTTTTGGTTAGTTTATGCCAATTTCCTCACAAATTCTCTACTACAATTTTCACCGTTTTGGAAAAATTGAATTCTTAGTCAAATTTAAAAAACAAGACAAATTCATAAAAAAATACTTTTGGAGTATGGATTATAAGTTTTAATTTTTTTTTAATTTTTTTTTTTTTTTTTGTAAATAGAAACTTTATTTAAAACTTAATTTAGTTAGGTGAGTAATCATAATGGGAGTTCGAATAATAATTAAGGGAGTGTTGGGTGTTAGTAGCTGATTTTAGTAGGTTTTGATGAACAATAAATATAATTTATTAGCAAATTATGAGTTTTAATATATAGTTTTCCAGCCAAGAAGAATATTCCCTCATTAATACAATCCCAACGGAACATGCAACCATTTTTCTTTCTTTTTTTTAGGAAAATTCTTAGACCCATATTTTATAAATTTTGTTCAATAATGAAAATAAAGTAAATTAAAAAAATAAATATTAAGTTAAAACGTTAGTTTTCATTAAAAAAAAAAACATTATAATTAGATTTTCAATATATATGTATTCACAAACTAACATTTGAAGACTAATTTTAAAATTTATTAAAAATACAAAAATGGAAGTATTTGAAAGTAAAATGAAAAGGTGTATTTTAATCAAATACAAAACTTAAAAGCTAAAAAAAGGAATCAGAATACAAAAAGATATGAAAGCTAAACAATAATTAATTAAATTTAAAAAAAAAAAAAAAAAAAAAGACAAGAAATCTATGTAGATACAGGCAACCTAGACAAAATGTTGTGGTTTGTATGAGAAGCATTACTTAGGCTCCATGTGTGGTCTGAATGAAACAGAGTTCTTAAGATGGAAGAAAGGGTCCTTTAATTTTGATGCATTATGGCTGCATGAACTTGCATAGTTCAAGCTTCACCCATCCCATTATTATAACTCTTTTAATTTGCTATCGCAATCTCATGACACGGATCTCGAGGCAAAGCGAAAAAAAGAAAAAGAAAGTAATTAACCCATTTAATACAATTTTTACCTAGCATGTGTTAAATTCATTATATTTAAACATTTTAAATTATTAACCATAACTCAACTTTTTCATACAATGGTTTTTAGTGCCCCGATTAGAGTCTTCTCGAGTGGGTTTAAGTTGTGAAGTCTTATGCACATAAATAAATAATAATAATAATAATAAATCTTATTTTAGTCTTCTCTAAATATAATAAGAAAAATGAAGGAAAAAAATTATAAATGAAAAACAAAATGAATCACCAACAATACTCATAAAAGATGACACAAAAATGGTTCGAATACGAATATGTCTGATGATAAATATATATATATAGTTTAAGGAAGGGTTCAAAAAATTGTTTTTTATTTTTATTTTTATAAATGTAGTGGTTTAGTCTATTATTAGTGATTTAGCATGAAAGCAAATTACATGAACCCATGTTCCATTCAACAAATAATTAGAAACTTTGAGCAAAGAATCTTTTTCTCTTTGTGCTTTCTTTTTTAAGTATTAATTTACCAATCAAATTAAATTAACATCATTACATTAAAAAAAAACATCTACAAAATTTGACAAACATGTCGTTACTCAGAAGATAAAATCTTGTTCAGACTTAGTGAAAATTTTAAGCATATCACATTCAATATCCTCTACTTTCTTTTTTCCATTAAATAAAAATATTAAGAAATAATAAATCACTATTTTGTTAAAAACATTCTTGCACTAATGTAAGGAGAAATAAGAGAGAGAGAGAGAGAAGAAAATAATATTTAAAAAATAATGTAAATATTTAATAAAAATGACATATATGATTATTTGTATTTTAAATTTTTATACGATCCTTGGGGCCCTAAACTTGCAACACTTGGAATCAAATCCTAAGGATATGGATTTGCCAAGTATACATTGCAATGCATAATGAATTATGGGTCATTATTCCCCTTTATTTTAAAACATAAAAAATAATAAAAATAAAGCCCAACAATAAAAATTATTTATTTAAAATAAATAAATAAATAAGAAAATTATTTTCTAGTTTTTTAGTTGCACTTGGAAGCATCTATATGGCTTTTTCCTTCCCACTTGACTCATTGATATGGATTTGATTTTGAAATTATTTGTATTTAATTTCTATTTCAATCTGTGATTTGTTTGTCTCCCACTCCACACATTATTTTAATTTATGCTCTATTTATAGAAATCCATTGATTCATTGCATTAAACAATTTATGACCATTAATTTAACTAATGCTCACTTACCCTAACTTATATTTATTATCAAAATAAACATAAACATACCTCATTCAAAATTAAATAAAAATTCAAATTTTTAATTAAGAATCAAATTTTCAATAATTTAGGAATATGTAATGATTCCAATGAAATGAATAGGTAAATAAAACAACAAATTTAGAAATTTAGAAAATTGAAAATTAAGATAAGTGTTAAAATTATTTTAAAATATGGTGATTGACAAAATTAGGCCGACCAAAAGTGTGTAATTTAATGGTTATCTATTAAATATTTTATTAATATTTAATCCAATAATTAAGGTTATTTCCCTTTATGTATATTAAAACTTAAAAGCCATGATACGATGCAGCCTATTTTACTTAACCCACAAACTATGCCTTCAAATTAGTGTAAGATGTAATTAAATATTTAGGTAAACCATTGATAATCAAAAGCGTATCCATGTGAGAGTCAAAGTTATGACCTAGAAGATCAAAAGTCAACATAATCAACGGTAGTCGGCATAGATTTATGTTTTAAGTAAGATTAATATCATTATCATTTGCTTGGTTTTTGCCACATGTGACAATGATTTAGGGCTACATTTTAGTTCTTAATATTTAGGTAATATTTCAATTTAATCCTATACTTTTAAAAAGTTTTAAATTAGTCCCTTACTATTTAAAAACGCTTGATTACACCCTTCCTATTGATTGATTAAACGTGATAGCATAGTAAACCCACCTAAAAGAAAATTCAAATTTTGACGATATCATAAACATTTAGAAGGATTAGAGACTACCTCGGTTGAGGGGTGCGTAATTCCACTTCGCCAGCTTAACAAGAATTATGCCACGACCACGAGTTTACCATCGGTATCAGTAAATCTAAACAATGACAAACAAAAATGGTATAAATTTTAGAACAATAAGACTTGAATTAAAAAATAATACCGCTGATTAAGAACTGAAGCATAAAAATTTGTTCATCAAGCAATCGTATCATTATAAAATGATTATGCACTTCTCCATGGTAGCCCCATGATTGGTAGCCTCCAAGATTTAAGAGATTGGAGCCAATCAAAACAGTCGGCAACGATTTAATTAATTACAAGACGGGGTGTGTGGGACCCCACGTAGAGTTGAGTGCCTTCAGCAATGTGTTGCAAACAGAGGTAGAACTTCAGAGGGCATTGACTATTGAACAATTCTTTACTAAAAAAGTCACCGTCCCATTTCAAGGGGGGGCTCTTATTTTAAAAGAAAAGGGATTTAATAAACAAAGAGTTGACATCCAAGTTGGAGGGAAGCCCTTATAAATAGGGACTGCCCTTTCCTTTCCAAACCCACCAACATAAACTCTCTTATTCAACTACAACACCTTAAGATCTTAATCCATCTTCTCAATTTCTCTTCCTAAAATACAGTGTTTTCGAATTCTAATGGCAATCCCAGTCATTGATTTCTCAAAGCTTGATGGAGAAGAAAGGGTCAAGACATTGGCTCAGATAGCTAATGGCTGTGAAGAATGGGGATTCTTTCAGGTAGTTTGCACAAACTTAACAGTTATTCTATTCATTGAGTAACGGTTTTTCAAGAGGTAGCTATTTGAATCTATCTTTTTATCGGAGATATAATGTCTTAACCAGTTGAGTGAGCTATACTCAAGTTGGTCAATGTTTTCATGCAAGAGCGCTAATTAAATGTTCTATAATATTGTGGACTAAAATATATGTTACCTGAATTTCAGCTGGTGAACCATGGGATTCCAGAAGAGCTCCTGGAGAGGGTGAAGAAGGTTTGTTCAGAGTGCTACGAGCTGGAAAGAGAGGAGAATTTCAAGAGTTCAAAACCTGTGAAGCTCCTGAATGATTTGCTGGAACGCAAGAGCGGCGAGAAGCTGGAAAATCTTGATTGGGAAGATGTCTTCCTTCTCCATGATAACAACGAATGGCCCTCCAACATTCCTGGCTTCAAGTAAGCATGCACCTACACTTCAAACTTTATGCTTTTTCGTGAAAATATATCATGCAATCAAATTTTCTTACAAACAGAGAGTAGGTTTTGAAAGCAACTCACGAATATTGTGGCAGGGAAACCATGGCAGAGTATAGATCGGAGCTGAAGAAGCTAGCTGCAAAGGTGATGGCAGTGATGGATGAGAACTTGGGTTTACCTGAGGGATACATAAAGGCTGCCTTCAATGGTGGCGATGGGCTGGACAAGGCCTTCTTTGGAACCAAAGTCAGTCACTACCCACCATGCCCACACCCGGAGTTGGTGAACGGCCTCCGTGCGCACACCGATGCTGGTGGTGTCATCTTGCTCTTCCAGGACGACGAGGTGGGAGGCCTTCAAATCCTGAAAGATGGGCAGTGGATAGATGTCCAGCCATTGCCGAACTCCATAGTCATCAACACAGGTGATCAGATTGAGGTCCTGAGCAATGGAAGATACAAGAGTGTTTGGCACCGGGTTCTGCCCTCCCCAAATGGGAATAGGAGATCCCTTGCTTCGTTTTACAACCCATCAATGGAAGCCATCATAGCTCCGGCACCAAAGCTGGTGAATAAAGCAAACCAGGAGGTGGAAAAAGGATATCCCAAGTTTGTGTTTGGAGACTACATGTCGATTTATGCTGAGCAGAAGTTCCTTCCAAAGGAACCAAGGTTTCAGGCTGTCAGGGCAATGCGAGGGACATGAATCTAAGGACTGTTGGACTTCACTCTCTTGATGGCCTTTCATTCAAGGGTTTTCATGTATTAGTGACAATATTTGAATAATGCAACTGTTTCTTTCTACACCTCATTCCCCCACCACACACACACACGCACACAAAAGGGGAACCATTCTCCCTTTGGGGGCGTGTGTTTGCTTTTGTAATTTGCTGCTGTTTCTCCATATATTGTTGTATGTTGTGTAAGGTGTCCGAAGGACCAATATTTAATATTGTTTTCAATATTATATTTCGTACTAAAAAGAGTGAATAGTTTTTGTTATTTTTTAAATGCATATAATATATAAATTAAAGATATAAATGTCAAATTGAGCCTATAATCTTAAATCCAAAGATCAGAGTTCAAATTCTCTCCCTACATAAATAAATAAATAGAAATATATACATACACTATGTATTTATCTGATGAATTCATGTAATTACCCAGTTCATGAAACTACAATTTAAGAAACTTTTTAATTTTTTTTAAAACCCAAAAATGAATATACCTTGATTTCTAAAAACAAAATCTAGAAAATATGTATTTTTTTTTAATCATCGAAACAGTGCAGGACTTTTTTTGCCCAAGATATTTTCTGGAGGCAGTTTTTCCACTAATCTTGTTTACTTTCTTGATGACTAATTTTTTAAACGCACATTGCGTCTTATTAAATTAATCAAACCTATTTTCTTGACATTTAATTCTCTAGCGTACCAACACGCGTATTTTATATCTTCGCATATTTAAATCTTATATCAAGCTCTAATCAAACCTTCACAGTGCGGCTAAGGCTTTACGTATTTTACAAGGGTAGATGTAGGTTTAAGTCATGCTACTCCAGGTTCGAACTCTGTCTATAAGTATTTGCATTCCCGACAAATCCTCTTCATAACCCACGACCTACAAACATTGAACTGTTAACAGGCTGGAACTAATAGCCAAGTAATTAGTTTGTTCCTAGCATCAATTTCAACTTCATTGATGATTCTAAAATCTTATGAGTTGTAATCTATTCAGTTCTTCCAAAATCTTGTCGACAGAGAGGGATACAATTTTCAAACATTCATCACACATAATTGCAATAGAGGTATAAATGACAAAGAAAACACATGCACACACCTGAGACTCGGTTTGTGTTTCACAAAAACCACCATATATGCCTCCGCTCCCATCTCCAGTATTAGGATTCTAACGTCTTCTTTTCTTTCAGCTCTGAGATCATGCAAAATAAAAATCTCATTAACTGAGTTACAAAGACAAAACTGAAATGCGTTTGTACTTATTAGTCTAAGAGTGATTTCAGTATAGCTTTACAGGGTTGAGTTCTTTAGTGAAATGCTCTTTTAACCAATATTTTTAGCGAAATATTTTCCTAAGAAAGATGAAACTTATTATAGAGCAATAAGGAAAAATCAAACAAAATTTTTAAAAACCAAACAGAGAAGAAAAGTTTTCATAATGCCAAAATCACGTAAAGGGTACAGTATTGATTAATATCAAGTTTGAAAAATAGTCTACTGCATTTTATTTGCAAGCTAGTTTTAAGAATAGCATTCGGGATGATTGAATTTTGCAAATAAAATGACTACTCAAAGAAAGTATAATCTTTTTTGTTCTAGGAAACAATTCACCAGACCAATGACGGAACAATCAGGCGGGAAAATCTGGTACCTTATCGGATTAACCCAAGTACAAAAGAAATCAAATATTTAAACATAAAAGGCATTGATCCCAATAAAAGGATACACTTTTGTCGAAGCAAGTCTTTCCAGGTGACTTCCGATCATGAATCTTAAAAAGAAAGTGGAACAGAAGGATCCGAGAGAACAATATATTGAAATGAAGTAATGGAATTAAAGCTCTATCCATATTTTACCTTGTCTGCTCCAACAAGTTCTCAATTGCAGCAGCAACATCAGGAACATGTAAAGTTACTACAGAAGATTTTTGATGTCGTTTCTCTTGTGGTCCTCAACAATCTCCCCTCCCCCTTTTGATTTATCCATTCAACAATTTCAGCTGTCAAGGAGAGAATTCAAATATGATCGTCAGAATATATATCATCAATAAAATGAATAAATTTGTCAAAGCCATAGTTTCATATGCTAAAAGGAATGGTACCCTTTTCATATGCTAAATGACATTGGAATTATCTTGAACTTTTCTAAATCAATCTGTTAACAGGATGGGAATATACTTGAGATACAATGAGGTCAAAGGAACTGATTTAGAATTATATACACTCCGAAGACTTACTTTCAAAGTTATGGAGCTGGAACTGTTGAACAAGATACAGCTTTCTGCGAGATATCAATAGCTATTCTCACTTACGTACTATGTTACATCAATTATGTGGAATGCAGAAGATTTTGAAGATTATATTCATAAATGCCTCGTGTTAAGATAACAACTGTGCTGCATAATGATTGCTATATAATGCTTTTGGTATAATAAAATCCCTTCCTCATAAATCCTTCTAGTAATAGTCAAGGCTCTGACATCATCAGTATTTCCCATATCATCGCTTCTATTCTAGGCCCTGGATTGCTGTAGTGTTTCAAATAATTAGGAATCTTAATGGTTATAGAAGTGCAGCTATTTCACGGAGTTGCCTTTGCATTTGAAACAAAATTAATGTTTCAACTATCACTAATCCTTTCCCTTTCCCACCTCCACTCCCCACCTCAAAACCATCATCTTTCAAGATCCGTCTTTCCATCCATTCTCTTTCTTATTTTAAACTATAATTGTCAGAAATTTAGAATTTTGTATAAATATTTGGGGGATCTTTACACAGATAAAAAAACCTATGTACACGTATACATCACGTCAATAAAACGGTAAATTCAAGCATCACAACCTTGTATTTTGCAGCCAAGACATTCTTCACGACAATGAAGGTGAATCTAGAGATGCTTTTGTATGCAATACTCCTCCCATTGCAGTAACTAACTTCCCTAACTAAACCTGCAATTTTGTATTATAATTTAGAAACAAGCTTCTATAAAAACGGGGAAATAGGAACATTAGCAACGTAGCTTTTCATCCGCCTGAAAACCGGATGCCAGAATTTTCACACCATCCATAGCAAGGCAACAAGTAAAATCCTGTTGAGGAAGCGGTCTGTACTCTTTTGCACATGAAGGCACGCACTGAGGACCCCCCCAATAGCAGAAATTCAATTCTATAGCAATAAATTGCAATGCGATATGAGCACCAGGTCCCAGGCGACGGACTGAAATGATAATTTCAAACAACTAGGCATGCCAATTCGAAATGCAAGCGGACAATGGAGACATATTGCATGGTCACCGGGCTACTATTTATGTTCATTAGAAAGCTATAACAGTAATTCAGTAAGTATCGCATTGAACAAATAATCGAGAACTCCAATTTCCTACAAGTCTCACTCGTCTGTCAAAAAACTGAACTCCGGCCCTATCCCCGCAGAAGAAGGAGAAGAAGAGGTCGAAACTAAAAATTAAACCTACAAGAACCATACCTAAAAAATTGCACACCTTCGCGCAAAGATCCTCGAAATTTTCCTGCAAACCAGAATCAAAAACCAAAAAACCATAGCCAATACGAAGAAGAATGAGAAATCAAACACAAAACCGATGAAACATTTCATACATGATCGACAGAGAGATAACATTATAATCATTACGCCCGTTTCGAGAAGGATCGCAACAGATGAAGACGTCAGCCCCATTCTGCTTCAGAGCATCAAATATCTCTTGAGCAACAAGATTGCAGGACACGAACACGTTGCCTCCGGCGAAGGGCTTCGGATTCAGCATCTCGGCCGTTGCTTCGTCAACTTTCTCCCTCGATCAAACTTGGACGAGAGAGAGAGGAACGGAATTTGGAGTGTCTTTGGAAATGAAACGAAGAGAAATCGGACAGTGTAAATGGCGGGAAGGGTTTCCTCAAATCAGTAGCCTGCCCGTCCGTTCCACGCGCGTAAATTTTCTTATACTAAAATTAAATTAAGTTAAATTATATTAATGTTAATTTGATTTTTTTTTTTTTGCTTCAAAAATATCATTTTTCTTTTAAAAAAATTATATAATGTTTTTTATATGATTTATATATAATTTTTGTTTAATTCAAACCATAGAGTTCCTACCTTTAGTTGGGCCTTGTGGGCGTGACGTAATAAATATATGATTTATATATAATTTGAAATTAATATTGTATCATTTTAATTAACTATATCACTTTAATTAATATTGTTTTTATAAGAAAGACTTGAGAGATGTATTCAAAATATGTAATAAGAAAAAAAATACATATTTATAATTAATATAATTATTTTTTTATTATAACGCATCAATAAATAAAAAAATTATTATTTATAAAAAAAATTAAAAAAAAGTAAGATATAAAAACATCTCTATTGAAAAATATATATATTTTTTTAAATGCTTAAGCTCAAATTTTACTTAGTGACCAGATTAAATAATTTAGAAAATTAAAGTAAAATATTTAAAATAATAATAAAATTTACGCGTTTATTTTCTGAGCGTGCTGTAGAGTAATTGACTTTCTTTTACTACTGTAAAAAAAATCAACTGTTCCTCACGTAGGCAATTATTTTATTGAGGTAAATTTCATTATTGTCGTGTGTTTTTTTACGTGCAGACATGAAACACATGTAGCCCTAAATTCTAGGTCTTGTATTGTACTTTATATTTGTATTATTATTATTTTTTCCTTGCCTATTAAGCTTTAGGTTCGGTAGACGGAATCTTTCTTGAAAAAAAGTATTAGAGAGGTAGGGTCGATGTTAATGGTCGAAAGAAAAGAAAAAAAAAGATGCTTTCATGAAGATTTGTACGTCGGAGGATCGATAATCTTTTTGGACATCAAATGCTAGGTAAATAAGAACGAAAGGAAGTCTATTATTGAGAAAACGGGCGATCTTGTATTGCTTGTTAAGAGAGGGGAAGCTTTTGAACCATTTTTTTTCAATTTAATAGTGAGCGGAAGATTAACCATGAATATCAAAGAAAGCAGTCGGGAATGAGACCCAACCCTCGAAAAAAGAATGAAAAGCTTATGGAAAAAGTTAATTGAAACAAAAAATACCTTTGAATGGTAATTAATTTGAACATTCAAAATTAATAAACGGGTCTTAAAGAACACAACTAAATGACAATTTTACCCCTGAAGAACGAAAAAACTCGAGAAAATCTAAAACACCATTTAAATAGATATCAAAAAGGGGTTAAAGAAAAGGTAAGGTAATGAATTATAAACAATTTGAACATTCAAAATTAAGGAGCGGGTCTTCACAAAATGACAATTTTACCCCTGAAGAACCAAATAACCCAAGAAAATCTAAACCCCCATTTAGATAGATATCAAAAAGGGGTTGAAAAAATGGGTTATAATTCGTCCGGTCGTTCAAATTTAGTTCATATACTAATGAATTATAATTAATTTTATCGTTCGAAATTAAGAAACGGGTCTCAAAGAACAAGTAACGAAATGACAATTTTATCCCTAAAGAACCAAATAACCCAAGAAAATCTAAACCCGCATTTAGATAGATATCAAAAAGGGGTTGAAGAAACGGACCCGAGGTCAATTCAAATTTAGTTCATATGCTAATGAATTATAAGCAATTTAACCTTTCAAAAATAAGAAATGGGTCTCAAAAACAAGTAACGAAATGACAATTTTACCCCTAAAGAACCAAATAATCGAATAAAATCTAAACCTGCATTTAGATAGATATGAAAAAGGGGTCGAAAAAACAAGCTATAGTTGGTTCGGTCGTTCAAATTTAGTTCTTATATTAATGAATTATAATTAATTTAAACATTCAAAATTAAGAAACGGGTCTCAAAGAAGAAGTAACGAAATGACAATTTTACCCCTAGAGAACAAAACAATCCAAGAAAACCTAAACCTCCATTTACATAGATACAAAAAAGAGATTGAAGAAACGGCTCACAAGTCCATCGTTCAAATTTAGTTCCTATACTAATGAATTATAATTAATATGATCGTTCAAAATTAAAAAACAGGTCTCGAAAAACAATTAAGGAAATGACAATTTTACCCCCAAAGAAGGAAAGAAAAAAAAAAACCCAAGAGGAGGAGGTTGTTTGGTTGTTTGGCATACAAAGAATTGAAGCTTATTGATTAGATTGAGTGTGATTTGAGATTTCTCCCTTTCAAAAACCCAGTTTTCACGGTGCTTCCTCTTCCCATTTTGGGTTAACAAAAACCCTTTTCATTCTTTGATTTGATGCTTTAGATTTTAAACCCTAAACCCTAAATCCTTCTCCTCCTCTCTATGATTGACACGTGTCCTTTTAGGGCATCCTTTTACTTCCTTTTCCTTTTCTTCCCAAATACTACCTAATAACCCTAGTTTTTATCACTTCTACCTTCCTAATTTCTTATAAATTTTTATAATTAATTACCATTTAAGGACGTTAAATTAATAAAAATATTCATAAATTTTGTATTTTATCTCAAAAATACTTCCGAACTTTCAAATTTTTTTATAATATCCTTCAATTTTAAAAGGAAGTTAAAAAAAATACCCTAATCGTTAGTTTTGGATGAAAAATGGTAGTTGACGTACTCTCGAACATTCAAAAGAGATTAACAAGTAGCTTTAGTGTTAGTTTTGGATGAAAAACGTTCGTACTTTGTTTCAAAAGTGTTTAAAAAATATTTTTACGTTTGGTTTTGGATGAAACGTAAGTACATCATACTACCCAAACCTATCATTGTTCCAACATATCATTAAACTAAAAAGAAACGTTTGTCAACTCGAGCATAGTTCAATAGACAAAACATTTATTAAGCTACAAAAACATTTGTCAACTCAAGCATAGTTCAATAGATAAAACACTTATCAAACTAAAAAGAAACATTTGTCAACTCGAGCATAGTTCAATAGATAAACCACTTATGAAGCTAAAAAGAACATTTGTCAACTCGATGATAGTTCAATAGATAGAGCACTTATGAAGCTAAAAAGAAACATTTGTCAATTCGAACATAGTTCAATAGATAAAGCACTTATGAAGCTAAGAAGAAACATTTATCAAATCGAGCATAGTTCAATAGATAAAGCACTTATTAAGCTACTCGAGCATAGTTCAATAGACAAAACACTTATCAAACTAAAAAGAAACGTTTATCAACTCGAGCATAGTTCAATAGATAAAACACCCATTAACTTCTCCAAGACCGAGAGTTCGTCCCCCAATCTTACATTCATTGAAAAAAAAAAGTCAAAAGTTCAAATCAACGTCTCGACGTACACCGTTATAAAGTCAAATAACAATTGGTTTGGTTATTGATTGGAAGTAATAAAGGTGAGAGAAATGCATGAACCCAATGGTTAACAAGTAGACCAAACATGACCCACAAAACAACAAAGAGTCAAATAAACAATAAAAACCACATAATTTTATAGTTGAGTTGAGCTTATCACAACCCATAAACAAGCCCTCCATTTCTATGTGACTTAGAAAGTTGATAAGCTTCCAAACCCAATATAGAAACCTCTTCTATTCCTTCTCTCCTTTTAAACCCTCTTCCATGGCTGCCTTTCCCCATTGCCTTTATCAAAATTCCTTAGCTCAAAAACAGAAAAACACAAACAAATGGGAAGAGGGAAGATCGAGATCAAGCGGATTGAAAACTCAAGCAACCGACAAGTCACTTATTCAAAGAGACGAAATGGGATAATCAAGAAGGCTAAAGAAATCACTGTTCTTTGTGATGCTCATGTTTCTCTTGTTGTTTTTGCTAGCTCTGGCAAAATGCATGAGTATTGCAGCCCTTCTATGCAGTAAGAGATTCAAAACATTTCAAATTTTTTTAAAAATTGAGCTTTTTTTGAGGTTTTTTTTTTACTTTTCTTTTTGAAGGTTGGTTGATATCTTGGATAAGTATCATAAGCAATCTGGGAAGAGGCTGTGGGATGCTAAGCATGAGGTATTTTGGGTCAAGATCTAAGCTTTTTGATATGGGGTGTGATACCCTTGTTTGGATCTTGGGTTTGATTTTGATATCTGTTTTGAAATGGGGTTTGGTTTTGATATGGGAAGTGATACCTATTTTCGATCTTGGTTTTGATTTTTGATATCTATTTTGAAATGGGTTTTGCTTTTGATTTGGGAAGTGGTACCCTAGTTTGGATCTCGGCTTTGATTTTGATATCTATTTTTGTAACGGTCCAAACCCACTGCTAGATATTGTTTTTTTTGAATTTTTTCTTTTGGGCTTCCTCTCAAGGCTTTAAAACGCGTATGGGGAAGGTTTATACACTGTAAAGGTGTTTCGTTCTCCTCTCCACCCAATATGGGATATCACAATTTTAAAATGGGTTTTGCTTTTGATACGAGAAGTGATACCCAGTTTGGATCTTGGTTTTTGATTTTGATATCTATTTTGAAATGGGTTTTGCTTTTGCTACCCTAGTTTGGATCTTGGTTTTGATTTTGATATCTATTTTTGTAATAGTTGGGACCCATCACTAGCCGATATTATTCTTTTTTGACTTTTTCTTTCCGACTTTTCTTCAAAGTTTTAAAATGCGTATACTAAGAGAAGGTTTTCATACACTTACAAAGGGTGTTTCGTTCTCCTCCCCAACTAAGGTGAGATTTCACCCTTTTAAAATGGGTTTTGCTTTTGATATGGAAAGTGATACCTAGTTTGGATCTTCCGCTTTGATTTTGATATCTATTGTGAAATGGGTTTTGGTTTTGATATGGGAAGTGATACCCTTGGTTTTCGATTTTGATATCTATTTTGAAATGGGGTTTTTTTTTTTTGAGGATTTAGCATGAAAAAGGAAAGATAAAACTAAGAGTAAAGTGAGATCGAAGAACAGATCTAGTACTGAATTATGTATTGATTTGATGAAACTTATTTTTCTTCACCTCAT